TCCAAAAATAAATAAGTCCACTATTTTCATATGCTTTATTGCAAAAGTTAATAACAGTTCTTTAATTTTTGTAAGGGAACTAGAATTTAAAGATTAGTAGGAGAAAATTTACTAGAGGCTGAAATGAAACGACAGTTGGCGGTTGTTTTGTGTAGTTTAGTTAGCCAATACTAAGCAGAGACCTTAACGTGTAGAGATGAGATGTGGTAGTGACATAATCAGTTTAAAACTATCTGGCGTGCGCACTGCATGTTCTGATTATACTAAGTAGAAGAATTTCTGATTTCATTCTTTCAAAAAAACGTTCGTGTCGTTTTTACATCATACTTCTACCTCATTGTTGGCTGCTTTGTCGGCTGGTACGAACAGAAAACGCTTTGCGAGTACTAGACTGAGTCTATTTTTAAGTTTAGTCAGATGTTTTTCGATTATCTAGTACATTTATCTGTTTCGATGCCTTTTCCATATCATAGAGACATGTTCTTTGAAATTTCATTTAAAATCTATAGCTACACTTGAATCTTATTTCAAAAGAAAAAGTAGTACGAAGATTCCTGTGACGCACTGTTTATTCGGCTCATGTTTCTAACATCTGATATCTGAGGAATTAGAGAATAGAGATTTCAATCTCACCGTAGAAGATGAGACAAGATAGATTTTATTTAAAGTCGGGTTTGTAAAACATGGAAAACACAAGCTCACAAGAACTTTTTCCGACAATAAAAACATATGCATAACATGACAAATTCATGCAAAGTTAATATTCTTCTGCTAGAAAAATTTTCCAATTGTTTTCTTACTGTAAGTGTCCTAGGTTATATATATATATATATATATATATATATATATATATATATATAAACAAATCTAAATTGAATACCACGTTCAAACCTATGATTGCGTTGGATAAAAACCGCAATTTTTATACGTGTGCATGTAAGACAAATTTCTTGTTAGAGGGGTCTAAATACAGCACAAACATCATTTTCCAAAAGACCAAATGAGTGAAAAAGTATATTTTAACAAAACGCATTTGACTAGCAGGTCGAACAACTGATGTTCTTAAACCCTGCTGACTGCCATTGGCGATTGCCAAATAAACGGGTCACAAGATATAACAAAATAGATCTTATTATTAATTTATTACCAAACAGAAAACAATAAACTTGCGGAAAGATGGTATACCGCAAACATGAAGTGTAAAAAATTTGTACACCGTATCCGGATTTCGACAATTAATGTCTCTTCAGTGATGTTAGGAATCGAAACGGTATTTGGAAGGCCATATAATTTACTTCAATTTATGATAGACTCTTGAATATATATATTGAATATGTATACTGTATTGTTCATTATATTTGTAAAAATAATATTATCATGATATTATATTATGCTCCTTGTGAGCCCATTTGATGGAAATAAAGCATCTTCTTCTTCTTCTTCTTCTTCTTCTTCTATACACAAGGACCACAAAAAATGAGGGTTAGAGATTTTAGCCTTGCAACAGAAAATTTAAGACAAAAAGAAGTCGTTGCAAGGGTTCTTTTGGTTGTAAAATGCGTGGTACTCTCCAAAAACAGGAAACTGCACGATTGTGTATCCTCCCCATTCTATGCGTAAAAGCAACGGCAAATAAACGCCAAACCTTTATTCGGAATGGGTCTTTCTATCAGACTTGAACATTGCAGGTGTCAGACCATTGTTTCTATGCTCAAGAAACCGTTGCAGGTGTCTACAGTATGTGGTTTTCATATACCATTTGCTTACCATGATCATGTTTCCTTTTTCCTAAATCCATAGCGATGTCTTTCTTATTTACAAATCTCCAAGTGTATGTTTGGTTTGCTTAGTTCTTAACATTTCTCATCTCAAAGCAAGCCACCATTTTCCATCTTAATCTTACCATTCTTCCCTCATTGAATGATAAATTCACTGATTTTATATGACGTTCATATTTTTGAGCCATACAATACTAGTACATAAATTGCTCCACCATTAAGAATGGAAAGACTAACACATACAGAAAATAATTTACAATTTTAGTAGGTTTTCTCGTATTGTTACTTATACTTTCCCAGAAATTATTATACGGATGCTATAACTGATACATTTTTTTTATAAAAGCCAGATTCCATGTTCTATTGTGTTTGAATAAAAATAGGTATTGTGTTAACCAATCGATCGATATATCATCTGTTAGAATTTTCCCGCTATTGTAAAATGGAACAATGCAAAGAGAGACAACTCGAAAAACATTAAAACCGAAAGAAACTGGATATTTTTAATGTATCGGTACTTATTTATTGCAGAGAAAAACCAGAAAGGACTAACTTGCAGACTACATGGAGGGAAACGACTTGTAAGATCAAAGTTAAAATATTTGTGACGTCACAAAATTATAGAATATTCTAATGTTGAAAGAATTTGACATTCAAAGGTACTTATACAAATTAAGTGCATTTTCTTTTTAAAAACGCGAAAAAAAGTATATATATGCTAATACGAAAGCAACTTGAACAGTCTAATCTATATCTCTTTCAGTTTGAACCACGTGTTTGCCTAAAAAATCAGCTTCTTTTAGTATTTTAGATTCAAAACTTTTATACACACAGAATGATTTATATGCGCAAAGACACCTTTCTAATGTTAAAGGCTGTAGTAATGCCCTTTATTCCAGTATGTATATTAGGTTGTTTTGCCGTTTGGTTGCATGCTGTGTCATTGGTATACATGTATACCAACCATTTACTTGCATTCATATCATAAAACAAAAAGTTAAAAGTTCCTCTAGTGTTCGATCTCCATAAAACCCCATGATTTTTTAAACAGATACAGATACAGAGAAACTAGACTGGTGTTCCTCTTCACACATTATTATAACATTCTAGTATACCCGTTGGAAAGGTTGGGCGAGTACGGTTCACACAATGCCATTATTATAACATTCTAGTATACCCGTTGGAAAGGTTGGGCGAGTACGGTTCACACAATGCCATTATTATAACATTCTAGTATACCCGTCGGAAAGGTTGGGCGAGAACGGTTCACACAATGCCATTTTTATAACATTCTAGTATACCCGTCGGAAAGGTTGGGCGAGTACGGTTGACCTTTATTGCTTTAAATATATTTAGTTATTCAGTGACACACACGTGTATTCATCAGTTGATTGTCGTTTGCCTAGCGTTTAGTGGAGAACATTTTATATATAGGCATTTTTTTCAGAGACAAGTGCCTGTGTCGGTGATCATTGAGTGATTAACTTACATAGAAATAAGGAAATGTGGTATATAACTGGCAGTGAGACAAATCCACAAAAGACGTACAAACACTATGGATATTTGGTTCATGTCTCCCCTATATATGTGTTTATACTTTACACTATGGATATTTGGTTCATGTCTCCCCCTATATATGTGTTCATACTTTACACTATGGATATTTGGTTCATGTCTCCCCCTGTATATGTGTTCATACTTTACACTATGGATATTTGGTTCAAATCTCCCCCTATATATGTGTTCATACTTTACACTATGGATATTTGGTTCATGTCTCCTATATATGTGTTCATACTTTACACTATGGATATTTGGTTTATGTCTCCCCCTATACATGTGTTCATACTTTACACTATGGATATTTGGTTCAAGTCTCCCCCTATATATGTGTTCATACTTTACACTATGGATATTTGGTTCATGTCTCCTCCTATATATGTGTTCATACTTTACACTATGGATATTTGGTTCATGTCTCCCCCTATATATGTGTTCATACTTTAAAACATTGTTAAATGGTTATTCTTCAACTTATAAAGATTGTGTGAAATATAGAGCAGTATGAGCACATAACTTATTATAAACATGCTGATTGCGAAAGAGATTTTTACTGTCCAGAAATAATCGATTTGATTATTTTTATATGCTTTATTACAGAACATAATAAGTTCTTTAATAGTTACAAGGGAGCTATAGTTAAAACGTTCGAAAAATTGATAGGAAGCCGAGATTAAACAAAATCTCAGTTTTTTGTCTGTAGTTTAGGCAGTCAGTAAAATTGAGAATGGAAATGGGGAATGTGTCAAAGACACAACAACCCGACCAAAGAGCAGAAAACAGCCCAAGACCACCAATCAATGGGTCTTCGACACAGCGAGAAAATCCCGCACCCGGAGGCGGGCTTCAGTTGGCCACTAAACAAAAATGTGTACTAGTTCAGTGAAAGTGGACGTCACACTAAACTACGAAACATATAAATGAACTAAAATTAAGAAAACATACAAGACTAACAAAGGGCTAGAGGCTCCTGATTTGGGACAGGCGCAAAAATGCGGCGGGGTTAAACATGTTTTGTGAGATCTCAACCCTCCCCCTATACCTCTAGCCAATGTAGAATAAACAAACACACAGCGATACGCACAGTAAAACTCAGTTTAAAAGAAGTCCGAGTGCATATATACATGTATATTGGGACTGAATCTTCAAATATTCAAATGAGGACTTAGATGAGATGTAGTGCTGCTTTGATTCACGGTCTACTATTTGACTGTCCATGGAGCGTATGTAGCATTGAAGGTAGATAGATTTATAGTTTCAAAGAACTTCCGTGTAGCACTCCACGAACCACGCTCTCCTATAGTACTCGAAGTATATATTTTTTTTTTCATAGAAATTAATGTAAATTTAACCCTTTTAGTAATTTCTAAATTAATTTTGAAATGTGATATGCGAATACCTGCAATATTTCATACTTAAAGTATTACTTTATTGAAAGACGGATCTGAGGTGACTTTTCAGTCATTGAGTTTTGAGTTGACTTAGTAAAAAGGTCATTTTCTTTCTACACATCATGAGTATTTTGGTAATTCTAATTTGTATTTTTCAGCAAATTTTCTGTATGTAGAATAAAGAAGAAATTTACCAAACCCAAAATGCAATCATTTCCTCAATATACTGGCTTGCGCATGGTTGGGGATTCCCCGTGTTCTATTTTTACTCTAGTCTCTACCTTTGAACCAGCTGACAGTGAGAATTGGGAATTTCCAAACCCAGCGAAAATTTCTATCCTTTCCTTATTGTTAGCTGCTTTTTCGAGTTGGGTGTTTTCTTGCAAAGAATAATCAACGAATAACTTCGGCAAAATGGATAATAAGTTTAAAGAAGACTTCGAGTTAGAAACAGACGATGTGGAAGTCGATTGTGCCATTATTGAACCTGTACATCCGATACCCCCTGCGGATTTATCAAAAGAATTGCCAACAAAGGACATTCGGTTAAGCAGCATAGATAGTGGATTTGATTCAGTAACATCTTATAATTCTGCATTTGATTCTGGACTTATTAATGACTTTGCAAAATTAAAATTAGGAAAAATCAACGAGACTGAAAACGAAGACCCTTCAAGCTTATGTGATTTATATGACGAAAAAGTAAAATCTAACATAGAAGAAGGTTCAAAACAATCAGTGGAAATACAAGAAAATACTGAAAATGAAGATCTTTTATTGGAAATCTTCAAACCGGATAAGGATGGCGACTCGTAAGTGATATTTTATAAAACAAACATCCGTGTTGAATAACATGGTCAAATGTAATTTAAGTCAATTAATTGCATAGTTTAAATATTTCAATCTTGCCGAAATGTAAAAAAAGATTATGCAAAAAATGTAAAATTCCCAACTGTATTAGTGCTTTGTAATCTCGTATGTCATAGATAGAAAATTCCCATTTATCGATTTTTTTTGTTTGTTTGACCTAGTTGCGTGGCAAATGATCATGCGCAGTATAGATTATATCATACATGGGTTTGATGATGGAATTTTATGTTACTCATTTTTAATACAAACTTTGGCGGGAGTGTCATAAAACGTAAAAAGTCATAAACTAGCGTGAGGTGTACTTATATACCTTGTGACCTATGTGTCAGTAAGGAAAACGTTAAGAAAAAATAATAACAAAATAAATGAAGACTTGCCTTTTTATAACGACTTATTGGCTTACATGTAGATCTAGAAATATTTTTCGGTATTTTTGTTATTTTGTTTTTTTTTTTGTATAAATCAGTCATGTATAAATTTTGAATGAATAAATATTTTTTAATATTTTTAATAAACTTATCACGGATATGTCCTGTCTTTATACACAACCAAATGTCCTTACAATATTTTAAGATTTATACTATATTTGTTCTGCAATTTTTTTCCAGGCAGCTACACATGGCAATCATCCAGTTGTTAGCACCTATAGCTCTCTACTTCATAAATCTAGTTCCAAGTCATCACTGGCTTAACCTTCCAAACAATCTTTTGCAAGTTCCTCTTCATTTAGCAACAATAACTCGCCAGGCTATGATCGTCAGGAAATTAATGACAGCGGGAGCTGACATCGTAGTCCGTGACTACAAAGGAGACACGCCCTTACATATCGCCTGTCGAGAGGGGTTTGACGATATTGCAGGAATTCTTTTGATGCCAATACAATACAATGAAACTGGTGAAATACGATACGAAATGGAACAACAAAAAGTACCTCAGGACGTAGAGCTAATGAATTATAACGGTAAGACTGCAACTGTTTAAAAAAGTATTTTTTTAATTTTATTTTTCTCTAATTTCTTTTTTTGTGATATTTATTACAAACAAGTATATGTAAATGTCTCCCTTTTATGTTATGACAGTGATATAATACTGTGCTTTCAGACTGTGCTGGTAGGCATTGCTACTAGTTAATCTTGAAAATTCAAACAAATCTATAGAACGGGGGGGGGGGGGTACTTTATTGTCCCACTCCCACTAAGCATCTTCCACAGCCAATGTCAATACATGTGTATTACTAAATGATAAAGTAGTTTTTTTTATAAGCCTATAACAAATATTTATTAAATCTTAATGTAACATTTTCATCTTTTACAGGCCAGTCTTGTTTACATCTGGCGGCAGAACGATGTCATTTACCGATTCTACGACTGCTATTACAGAATAATGCTGATATTAATATCAAGGTACGTAATCTTTTTAAAGAACACATCTTTTACTTCCTTGAGTGATAAGTTAAATCAGCCTTAGAATATATATAGGGTTTTCTTCTTAAACTTCTTAGTATCAGTTACGTTATCAAGGACGTAGAAAAGGAAGTTATATTATATGATATTTATAAAGGGGAACATATCAATACATGTAAAGAAACTCGCAACTTTTTTTCGATGATGAAAAATAAATGGATGTTTTGCATTTTTTTCAGGATGGTAAATGTGGGAAAACTATTTTACACTATGCAGCAGAAACCAGGAACAGTGTTCTTTTAGAGTTCCTTTTACAGCAGCGTGAAAGAATTGATTTAAATTCTACAACTTACGGAGGATTGACAGCCGTTCAATTGGCTGATGGGCGTGACTTTAGTGATGTTGTTTCAATACTAAGGAGGAGTGGAGCCATTTATACGCCCTTACCTGTTGAGGAAAATGATAGTGATGAAGAAATGGTTAGTATAAATTACTTCCTTTAGTATTAAATGACAGATTATTTGACAGTCAGTGATGATTTATTAAAGTTTTCAATTTGTTGGAAAGTTTTTGCAAATCCTGTATTTCTTAATAGAGGGTTAACCTTATTGTCATTCACCGAGGAAATAAAGTTGAGTTTGTACCTATGACGTCTATGAAACAAGGAGATGCAAAGTATACGCCAATAAGACAGCAACTTAACAACAACAACAAAAAATGTCTATACAATAAAATCACCTCTAGTCTATAGAAAAATTGTGAATAAAATAGAAGACACCCTCGAAATTACGGGCACGTGATCTTTTTTAACATTCGTTTCAAAGTTTACATTGTCAACTGAAGTGCTGTACATGTAAGACTTAAGTTGAAAGAAGGGCTGTACATGTAAGACTTAAGTTGAAAGAAGGGCTGTACATGTAAGACTTAAGTTGAAAGAAGTGCTGTACATGTAAGACTTATAAGTTGAAAGAAGTAAGAAAACTGCATTCGTCAAGTGCCTGTGCTTTCAAGATGCTGGGGTCGATGAGTTTTATTTCTAACCACTTTTCTTTTTTTCTTTTTCAGAACTAGTAGGCCCTGCAAAGCAAAGCAGATATGTGGCCTACAAGAATGTGCAACCTGAAGCACCAGTGCCCAGCTAGAATGGTACCGCCTTTGATCCAAGTGTCATGATGCAGAATCTGCGTTCAGTGTTTCAGAAATTTTTACAATTTCCAGAAATAAATCAGATGCTTGAAACTATATGATCTTGGATATAAAGTAGAAATGGAGAAGTTCAGAACTTTATTTAAAAGACATTAAATTCGTTTGGTTGTAAGGCAGCAAAGAAATAAATTATATGATTACATATTTGTTATGGAATGAGCAAGAGTGTTTGTAAATGCAGGGGATGTTTGTGTTCCTTTTAATTCTGTAAACATTTATTATTTCAGTGATATAAGCATTCTTATTTCACATTGACATGACATATATATGACATATAAAATATCAAGACAATTACATTATACTAATAACAAATAAACATTAAGCATCAGTAATTTTTTTTTAAATATAAATATTAACGTTGCAAAGGCCATTATATTAAAGTGATTTAAGGACAGTTTATTGATCATTTATTCTGTATGTTTACTCGTGCAAATTGAGATGTATTTTTCTTTTACTAGACCAAGGAGGTTGCTATTGCCAATATTATGTGAATAAAATAGATTAAAACTGACTCAGGGTCACTTCATAGAGTTAATTTGAAATCAGAGATCTTATTGCCAACAGTTGGGGCCTTATTTAAAATAATGTTTTATGGGTTCTTTTAACTAAAAGATATAAATAATTATTGGGAAACTGTTAGTTGCTATTAATATATTCCTCAATCCGAAATTTACGAACTAAAATAACTGGAAATTCCCTGAATTGATGATTTGACCCATTTTCATTGTTTCTCTGAAAATAAAAATTTTAAGAAATTCGATCTTCTGCAAATTTCCGAGTTAAAGAGTTTCAGTTTGATGAGATTTCCAAATTCACTCTTTCTCTTGTTCATTTGTGGGTCTCAGTTTATAAAAGATTACGAAATGAATGTCAATGTTCATGAGTTCAAAAGGGACTTGGCATAATAAATTACAACAGAAACGTAAATAAACGGATAATTTCAGGCATAGGTGAATGAGACAACACAACAACACTATAAAACAAGGTTTCCCACCTTAACCCTAAGGTAAATGAGACAACACAACAACACTATAAAACAAGGTTTCCCACCTTAACCCTAAGGTAAATGAGACAACACAACAACACTATAAAACAAGGTTTCCCACCTTAACCCTAAGGTGAATGAGACAACACAACAACACTATAAAACAAGGTTTCCTACCTTAACCCTAAGGTAAATGAGACAACACAACAACACTATAAAACAAGGTTTCCCACCTTAACCCTAAGGTAAATGAGACAACACAACAACACTATAAAACAAGGTTTCCCACCTTAACCCTAAGGTGAATGAGACAACACAACAACACTATAAAACAAGGTTTCCCACCTTAACCCTAAGGTGAATGAGACAACACAACAACACTATAAAACAAGGTTTCCCACCTTAACCCTAAGGTGAATGAGACAACACAACAACACTATAAAACAAGGTTTCCCACCTTAACCCTAAGGTGAATGAGACAACACAACAACACTATAAAACAAGGTTTCCCACCTTAACCCTAAGGTGATTGAGACAACACAACAACACTATAAAACAAGGTTTCCCACCTTAACCCTAAGGTAAATGAGACAACACAACAACACTATAAAACAAGGTTTCCCACCTTAACCCTAAGGTGAATGAGACAACACAACAACACTATAAAACAAGGTTTCCCACCTTAACCCTAAGGTGAATGAGACAACACAACAACACTATAAAACAAGGTTTCCCACAACACAACAACACTATAAAACAAGCTTTCCCACCTTAACCCTAAGGTGAATGAGACAACACAACAACACTATAAAACAAGGTTTCCCACCTTAACCCTAAGGTGATTGAGACAACACAACAACACTATAAAACAAGGTTTCCCACCTTAACCCTAAGCAACGCTTCTTTCACTATGTAGTTTATTTGGCCGTGGAAGTATACCTAAATGTTCACCGAGAGCTGCGAAGTCTGTTAACATTTTTTTAAAGATTGTGAACTTTGAATACCACGTGCTTAATATTAAATCTGCGTCAAAAGATAACAAAATTTTGCAACAAAGATAACTGCATGAGGAAATGAAAACTACACGAAAAATCAACGAAATTCTTTACAATTGGTATTTGCTGCTTTTCCGCCGATCAAGCGACATTTATAAGTAAGAGCAAAGACTGCTTGCAACAGAGTCGGAAATGCAATGTAAACAGACCTTAAAATCCGATTCAGCGTGTCGGTCTATATCAAGCAAGATATTTTATAGTTCAAGATTTCTCCGTGACATCTGAGGGCTTTTTTAAAGGATTTGTTGGGCTGTTAGTGTAATGCTTTATGTTTGAAGTTAAAAGATTCCTTATTTTCCTTTATAGTACGGTAACACAAGGCTAGAATTTGAAGCGATTTCTACATTTCTTCTACACAAATGGACCAAAACAGCTCTGACCCAGAAACAATCTGTTAGCAACTGATACAAAATTTGGTCAAAGTGTTCTTAGCTTTTACCATGTTTACCTTGTGATAAAGCGTGTTATGGAGAAATGATAATCTTGTCGTATAGGTGGGGAAGGAAGGATTCATGTTTCCCCACCTTCACGAACGCATATTTTTATAAAAAAAAAAAGATACATAATTTAGTGGTACATGTAAGGTCTTGTTTTTGTTTTGTTGTAAAATTTTGTACTCATGAGGCTTTCTTGCGTTCCGGCTAACTCTCATTTCACTCCTGTGTCAATGTCAGAGAAGTGGTGAGGGTTGCTAGAGTTAACTTATTTTCACACATCAAGTTTTCTTGTGCTATTCAATCAATCAACATTTCGACCGATAATTTATTTTATGAATATGCAATTACAAATCAAATCGTTGATGTACATTCCCATGGCTATTCGTACGTGATCGATATTTTTTCTGTTTAATGTCCAGTGGCAAATGTTTCATAGCTATTCATTAAAAGTTCATTCTGGCAGCAAATTTAATAAGTTTTATCGAAGTTTCAGTTTTGAAAGTTTTCGATCTATGAAATCATCAGGTTTGAAAAATATGCTATGGTCATGGTATTTCTTAAATACCAAATGGGTAGTATATGGTATTATCTGTTTCTGTTTCTTATAAGAAAGAGTATAGTTCAAATACCACGTCAATAATGAATCTATGACGATTTTCTATTACCACAGTGATTTACCTTTGTCGGACTAATGGGGTGTCGGACCAATGGGGCGTCGGACTAATGGGGTGATGGACCAATGGGGCATCGGACTAATGGGGTGTTGGACCAGTGGGGCATCGGACTAATGTGGTGTCGGACCAATGGCATGACGGACTAGTGGGGTGTCGGAATATCTGGGCGACTCCGACTGCAAGGGGGTGGGATGAGCGCTCACAAACATGTTCAATCTAATTAAAATATAGAACTCGGATTTCGTTATACTACATACGAGTATGTAGTATAAAGAAATCCGAGTTCTATATTTTAATTAGATTGAAACATGTTTAACCTCGCCACAATCTATATATGAATGTCCCCAAGTCAAGAGCCCGTAATTCAGTGGCTGTCTGTTATATTTGTTTTTGTTAATTGTTTTCTCATAACTCAGACCGTTGGTTTTTTCTTTGTTGTAATTGTGTAATGTAACATTGTTTACATTTTATTGTTCATCAAGTTCATTAGTATGTATGTTCAAGTGTTCAATTGTCAGATTATTCAATCTTGCATGCATTTAGATTTGAGATTTGAAACAATTCTGATAGTGCTAATTGGGGACTGGACGAACTTTTCAATTTAATCGAAACGTGAAAGGGAGTTTTATTAAGACCTTCCAATATTACTCTCGCCAAATCTAATTAAAGTTATGTACCGATTGAAAATTGTAGAATTTTTTATTAAAACCCTTTTTGGTATAATCTACTCAAGGATTGAATGGTGTGTAGAAATATAGTCACCCATGGACTTCTTCAGTCGGACGTTAAAACCGTGATAAACTGTGCGGGATGTATAAATACCCAGCCAAGTCCGGTCGGAATGGGAATCGTTAAATCCGATGCCTTGTGTTGATTGGGTACCACCTACATTTATAGGTTTGTGGAAACGTTGATCGTGCGCCCATTTTAGAATCAAGCGTTCCGCGCTTCATGCATACAAACTGTGCTTCGGTCAATCACAATAAAATTATAAAAAGTTCAATTCTTAAAGACATTACAATAGATAGGTTCAACCAGAATGAAGAACGTTCATAGTAGGTCAAACGAAATGAAAAGCGTTCAAAGTAGGTCAACCGGAATGAAGACCGGTAAATTTAGACTACCACTGGAAAAAGAAGATATGTTGGATAGGAATCATATTGCCTCGCACATGAGACATACGGACACCTAGGAGAGTTGCTGCATGGATTTTTTAAAGTGCACGGATCGTGGTGGAAAATTTGAAAGAAGCATTCAATTTTTACATATGGTACAGCTATAAAATTACGAGTTATTTCAAGATTTTCTTTTGATTTCCTATGCATTGTAGTGATGTTGTCACGGGTAGCACGTGCTGTCAAAAATGTTGAATTTAATTCAGAATCTCTTTCAAAATATTAATAAACACCCCTTTGTATTTTCACCTAGGCTGTAGACGAGAAAAAATGTGTTTTGCAAGACCTAGACTCCAGCATAGTGTTGAGCAATAATCTATTTTTTTTTAAATCTTATCGAAAAAGCACTGTGTCCCTGTGGTCACGTTGAAACTACCGCTCATTACTTTCATTATTATATTTGAATTCTATGCAAAATTGTACTACTGCATTGTTATAATTTTCCAATAATAAATACTGTTTAAACTAATTGAGAAATACAATTTGATTAAGGACTCAGTCTTGCGCGCGATTGCTTTCAGTCAATCAAAAAATCTTATGAAACATACATGTACTGTAATTATATAAAAATAAGGAGATGTGATATTTGTTCTCGTCCTAAATATGAGGACATTAATGCCACTGGACGTTAAGCAAGCAACAATCAATCGGATATAAACATTTACACACATTTTTCCATTGAATTGTCACTGGTAAACTACAAAAGTAGTTTCAAAGAAGAATATGAAAATGCAATTCGTTTGAAACGATAATTTCCATCGGAGGTTGACAAATATTTTGAAGGGTTAGATTCCGCATTCTACTAGTCCGTAACTAAGGAAAGCCACCATTTTGAATTCCGATTTTTTTGGTATGTAATTTCTCAAAAAAAAATCACATTTTGTGCCTCAAGATCTTCTTTTTGGCAATATTTATACCATTTAGAAGCTTTCGAAAAGTATAAATACGTCTATTGTTTATGTTTGACATCGAGAGTATAAAATACAATACAGTTATCTCCTAATTTCCGGTTGGTTGAATAAGGCATAATTTGGTGACCACATCTATATATGTAAATATACAATTTATGCACCCCGAATTCAGCACAAAAGAAGGGATTTTTTATTGGTTTCCCCAGTCATAATTTCTACAAATTCTGTTATGATGATGGTCTTAAAAATGTGAAATACATCAATTTGTTGAAAT